TTGTTTGTTTTGTTTTGTTTTATTTTGTTTTCCTGTGGATCTCAGGATAAAAACCTTTAGGAATTAGGATTTTAGGTTCTTTCCAGTTTCAAAATGTAATGATTTCTCTAGAATCCCTTACCTGTATACATGATCACATTTCCTAGGATCATGTTTATAAGTTCTAAAGGAAAGATGTTTTAACAAAATTCTGCTAACTTGTTAACTGCCTCTAGTTAATCAAACAAATGAAAAAAAAAATTCTCACTACCATTACTTACTTAAAAGTTAAATTTTAACTTTTTACCAGTTCTGATGAAAATTTCTTAAACAGAAAGGTGGTCTACCACTTGAGTATATTAGTCACAGTTCTTTAGAGAAACAGAACTGATAAAATATATGAGATTTATTATAAAGAATTTACTCACACAATTATGGAGGCCGAGCTGTCCCAAGATCTGCATGCAGTTGGCAAACTGGAGACCTAGGAGAGCCGATGGTGTAAGTTCCACTCTAGAAGAGGGCAGACGGGAGACACAAGAAGAACTGATGTTTCAGTTGAGTCCAAAGAAAGGAAAAGACCTATATATCACCTGAAGGCAGTCAAGCAGGGAGAGTCCTCTTTATTCCTGAGAAAGTCTGCCTTTTTGTTCTAGTCAGGCCTTAAAACTGATTGAATTCAATCCTACCTACATGAGGGTGGGCAATCTACTTTAGTTCGTCTACCAATTCAAATGCTAAACTCAACCAAAAAACACCCTCACAGAGACATGCAGAAAAATGTTTGACCAAATATCTGGGCACCTTGTGGTTGCCTGGTCAAGTTGACACATCTCAGTGCCTATAATGAGAAATCATTTTTAAAATAACACAAGCATTATTATCATAATTGGAACATTATTATATTGTGAAAACCAGGAAAATCAGGAAGATAAATTATTTTTACACAACTGAAGTTACAAGAATGATTCTGAAGTGAAAAAAATTTGATTTAATTTTACTTTTAGATGTAGAATATAATGCTTTTATTTTGATACATTTATTACTGTTTGAAGAAGTAATCAATTTATCTTTCTTATGTATATAGTATGAAAGCAGAGTATGGGAGAAATAAAATGTTTTAATTATGAAACTGAATTTAAAATATTTTGGAAATTTGTCAGTGTGTCTTGGTATCATTATTCAGCTAATGCCAATTTGACTTAATTTCTTATATTTCACTTCTATGATTATTTACTATAAGATTTTGCCTTTTAGTTTAAAAGTATACTTGCGAAGAGCATACCGCCTTACAACTTTAGGATTCAGATGGTGATTTCGTTTTAGGTCTTCCACAGACTTGTGATATGAAATTAAATAAGTGACATAACTACAATTTTCGCCTGAACTTGCTTATTTTATGAACTGGAATAAAAATGCTTGTTATCAAACATTAAATATGGAGTATTTTGAACTCTTTGGATGAAATATTTAATTTGAATTTACTCAGCCTTGTAAATAGATTTTTAAAATTAATTGACCTGTACAAATTTGTTACCAATTTTTTCTTTCCCATGGTGGCTAACTTCTAGTAAAATGAAAGAAATTAAAATTTCTTTCTACTTTCGTCTCAGGTATTAGTGCTTATAGGGGTCGAGTAGATCAGTATCTATTACCTGATATGTACCTATTATAATGCATTGAAGTGCTGTGTGGGAAAACAATTTACATTAGGTCAGAATATAGATTTAGGATAACTTAAGGTCCATGAATTTGGCCTAGATTTTAAAGTAATGAATAATAAAAAGATTTAGAGGATAAGGTTTCTGTGCCAGGAATATTCTTCTCTTAAGGAAAATCCCTGGATAAAATGATTTGGGGAAAAGAAATCTATAAACTATCTTCGTTTTTATCCTGGCTATTTCACTCTGAAACTAGTCAGAAACAAAAGCACAAAAGAAAAAATAAACAGAGGCTTGGGGCTTGGAGGTCACATGTTTCCTCCTTTTATCACTGGTTAAAGCAGGAGAGTAGGAAGTAGAGAATAAGGGCAGGGTCAGGGAGGGTGAGAGAAAGATGTTTGTGGGCTGGTGAGCTAAGATCTCTGCAGGACTTTACAGGGAAATTCTGGGCTCAGTACGTAAGGAACAGGCCTCAGGAAGGCTCCTGAGTGAACCCTGTGTTGTCCCTGAAGCTTCCAATTTTAGATTGATTTTCTTGAAGCTTTTACCTTTCATTTGGGCTTAATTCTGACATGAGGCTCCATAGCCAAGTGCTCCCAGATGTAGGCCCACTATCCCTGGGGCCACACAACCCTATTGTTCTGTATCCTCTCTCCATAAATAGTACATGTGTAGCACCATAGGTGTGGTTTAATAGCGTTTAACCTTCAAATATAATTTGAAAATAATTCTAAATAATGCTCACTCTGTTGCTATCTTAACTGGTTTACAAAAGGAGTTTATATATGAATGAGGTGACAATACAAACCTTTAGGGAAAAGATAGATTTTTTCAAACATGGTGAATTAAAGCAAACCAGAGTAGGGAAAAGAGTACAGAAGTATTTTAGGGAATATAATCCTGAAGATTGGATATTAACCTTTTGATTTGCCTGAAAAATACAAAATATGGAAGTAATGATGTTGGAATCATTACATTAATGCGTAAGAAATGATGGGAATGGAATCGATGACAATAGTAAAGTTATGCTATTGGACTAGACAAGAACAGTGAGACTAGAAGAGAATTTGTACTGGCTTCAAAAAGAATGCCCTGGACAATAAAAAACTTAGACTAAACAAGAACTGGGCTTTGTTTAATTATTAAATCAAAAGAATGCAAGGATTGATTGGAGTACGATCATTTGTGCCATTTAGAAACTTGTATATCAGGAAAGCTAATACTTTTCATCAGAGGGAAGCTATTATATAATAATGACAACGGAAATAATATCAAATATATTTATATGTAAATCACAGTTATATTTTATTTTTTAAATGTGATTCAGAGAAACATATTGTGAAATTTAGTATTGTCAATTTTTGATCCATTGTTCCATTGTGCCATTTTTTGTGCCATTGTTCTGTTGAGGAAAAAAATCTAAGGAGTGTGGTTGATACTTGGAGTGGCTATTCAGAATTATTTATGCAAAATGAAATTAAAGCCAAACCTATATTTTTATTGAGGTCGAGTAGAATACATATGATGTCTCAAAAAGGTATAGATGTTGCTACAGTACAGAGAAAGTAGATCCCTTAAGTGATTTTTAATTTCTTTGGCTAGGGAAAGGCAAAGACTAGATTCTATGAAATCGTTAACATAAAGGGTGCACCAGTTTAGGTTTTACAGATTCTAATGCTGCTGGCCACCATTCAGTAAATTTGAATGAGTGAAGACAGCTGAGCGTGAGAAACGTGGATGGGACATGGGTCAATGTCTTGCCTGACCAGGACATTCAAATCCAATTAGACAAAAAAATCTATTCTGGCTAAACAAATACCCTCACAAGTGCAGTTTTAACACCTGGATCTCTCAAAAAAACAAAACAAAACAAAAACAAAAACAAAAACCTGTTGTTTTTGCATAATATAAAGTAGGTTTTTTTTTGTTTTTCATGATCTGCTACTTTAAGGTAGCTCTTCTTTGGGAATATTCAATAACCTACCTAAACTGTACCAGGTATAAAACCTCCAGGAGCCTTCACCACAAGAAGATATCAGGAAGTAAAAGAGGATTAATTTTTTTTAGGAATGTGGGCTTTAGAAAGAAGCAGATTGATGGATGTCACCACAAAAAGGATTAGGTTGCTACCGATTGTATGTATAATACTCCTTTTACTTCCTATTTCCAAAGTGCTTAATTACCCAAGATGTTTGTAAATTACATTTAGCTGAAATCTTGCCTATGTTATAAACACTCACAAGACTCTCCTTTTTAATTGATTTTAACTTTGTTACAAAGATCTTTCTCTTAGGTCCTCAAAGAAAAGTGGATAGGTAATAAAATATTTAGCACTATAATTTTAAAAAGTTGGAGTAATTTATTTTCTGTATATTAACTTGCATATTTCCAAATCTTTGATAGGTTATATTTAAAAGTATTTTTTAAAACTGTATCATGCCAAAGAAGAATGGCGGAGGGGAGGAGTTGAAGAATCCATTGATTTTTGATTCATTGCAAACGTGTATTGAGTACATACTTTCTGCCTATTAGATGTGATATTCTCATGTTACTTGTCTCACTTACCTCATCCTTACTGCTGAAGGGATTGGTATTCCTCCATGTTTCATACTTAAGATAATATTATCTCAGAAAGACTCTAGATTTTTGGAAATTTTATTAAAAAAGACATTTCTATACAATATTAGTTATAGAAACCCTTAATTTACTTTTTATTTTATTATGTTTTTATTTTTGTAAAGCTACTGTCATTTATTCTGCGAATTAGACAATTCTTAAAGAAATAATAGTCTATCTCATTACATTTCCCCAGAGGTTGCACTTAGCTTTGTGGTCCTTGATGATCCATGGTAGTCGCTGGCATATATTCTTATGTAGGAATATGCTTTTAAAAAGAAAATTCTTTCTGTGGTTTTCAAAAAACATTTTTTAAAAAATGAAATTATATACTAGCAAATCATTGTTTAAATTTATGAGAGGAAAAACAAACCCTAAACCTTTTTAGGGACTCACATTCTTTAAAAATATTTCAAATGAAAGAGTTAATTACAGTTCATAACAAATGTATGATAAAAATGCTTTTGAAGCAACAACAGCAAGGAAAGCCTGATTTAGGCCAGTGTTGGTCTATGAGCATCAGAATCCCAAATTATAGAGCAGTGTTATAGCATGGAACCCTGGGCTCTGTCCCTGAAGGCTCCCATTCTGGAGGACATGGGCGGAGCCTGAGCATTTGTATTTTGGCTAAGTTCCTGAGTGACATTGATGTTGCTGATCTAAGGACCACATTTTGAGTAGCAATGATTTAGGGGTGACCGGAGAAGCATATTTTGTGCTAACAATTTAAATTATGTTTTTCAGAAAAATAATTTCAACTGTTCCAGAAGAGCTCAGTGCCCAAAAACCAATGTCAGTTCTGTACAGATACAAGGTGATTCTGAATATTTCATCAACCATCTTGGAGTTCCCACTGTGCAGTTTGCTTATGAGGACATCAAAGCATTACAGGTGATTGTTTCTAAAACTGCAAAACACCCACACATGGACACAATATAGCAGACATGGAGAATTTGATTTTATCCTGGCTATTTGTCTTTCTTGCCAAATAGGTCACTGGAAGCTACTTTATTTAAAGAGTTATTCTTGTTGTTCAAAGGCTTTGTAACAGTATTTGAAATCATCAGCTCTTTTCAATAGTATTGAATTCAATTTAAAAAAGATTTATACTGTCACTCACATTTTCACAGTGTGCTTTGCAACAAGAAATTTGCAGTAGTTGGATTAACATCAAAACATAATTGTAAGTTTCAGTATTCACAGAAACAGATGACATGTGCAATAGATTCTCCTCTCCTTGCCCAAGGGAAAATGCATTTCATGTACTGTATATTAATGTGAGTCTTGTGAACCAGCTCCCTGAAGTCTGTCAATAGTTTTTCTTCCTAAAAAGATAGTGCTTTTTTTTAATGAAGATAGGAGGCTTTTTCCAAAACAATATCACAGAGCCATGATTCACCTTAATTAAGTCTGTGTTCATCCATCTATTGGACTTCAGGCATTTTAATCTTTTTTAGAATTGTGTCACAGGAAACCATTTCTCTGTAGATCTAAACCTGTTGAAATATTTTATTTCTTTTAAATTGTGCATGCCTTTTGGGGAGCTCTTTAAAAGCCTCTGGAGTAGGCTGCTTTAGGTAATTATTAACATTAACAAAATAGTGGCTGAAAAATTAAGAGTGCTTTGTTCTTACCCATAGATGTTCCTAAAAAGTTGTGTTTATATTTTTATAGGTGATTGTATGCAATATCTTAATTTCTGATAGCTTTTAGCACTATTCAACTTCTAGTATGCAATATCTTAATTTCTGATAGCTTTTAGCAGTATTCAACTTTATGTTTCTCTGCATCTCTCCCCCACCCCTCTGCCCCCCCACACACACACTTTAGTTCCTCTGTAAATAGCTAATGATCACTAACAACTTTTAATAACTAAATTACTGGAGGGAAAAACTCAATATAATTGTGATGAGATAAATTCTTGGATAATGCAAAAGTAATCATTATGATTTTTTTTTACATATGGATTTTCATATGCTATTGTTGTTTGAAAATGAGGTACGTGTGTAGAGGTATCCTTCCTTTTATGCAAAGCCACTATATGCATTATACTTACATCGATGTATTAAGAAATTAACTTATTTTTAATTTTTCAGCCTGATATTTCTTAATATCTCTTTATCATTTCCCCATCTCAGCCCATCCAGCTCCTGTCATGTTAACACACTGAATTATAGCTTTCTTTCAATACATGTCTGACTCATCTTGGTTGAGTTTCAAGCCAAGAATTCAGAGAGGCTATATAGTATATCCTTAAGAATGGGACTAATAGTTGACTCCTAACTCTGATACTTACTACACAAATGATCTAACCTTTTTCAGAATTATTTTAGAGATGAGAAACCTCTGTATACTTATGGAATCTACTTCATAGAGCCGTAGTAAGAATAAGTGAGACTATGCATGTAAAGTGCTTGGCTAACATTGAGCATATAATAAGGTCTCTGTCAACTATAGCTATCCTCACAATTATTATTGTCTATAGATCCAACATATCAGTGGGAGAATTTCTAAACATTTCAGATAAGAACATAGTAGTGGAAGGGAGGAGCTTATTAATTGTTAAGGAAAACTAGCTTCTAAGGCTGAAGAGGTGGCATTTGATTAAGATCAGCTGGAGAGTCTGAGGTGTCAATAGGGAGAAGAAGTGAAGTTCTAAGAAAGTAATGTCATTACGGTGAAACTCCTAAGGCTGCAGTCTATCTACTAGAACTGGCTTAGTCTAAAGAAGCTAATCATTTTTTTAAATAATACTCAGACTATTTTCCATCGAAATCATTTTCAATTATATTTCTCTCCATAAATGTAATTAAAAGAGAATCCCTTATGCTTTATAACAAATGACCTTGTTTATATTGCTTTAGCGTGGAACATTTTTTTAAAAAAAATAGATTTGTCCTTTATAAAATATGAATGCTTAAGATGAGATAATTTTGTGTGATGAACTCTTCAAAGAACAGATAATCTTTGCTTTTTCTGTTAATCTATATTAAGTATTTGTATATATTAAAAGGAGTTATAAACATTGGAAGGCTTTCTCCATGATATAAAGATTTATCCTATGTCAATTAGTAAAGTAGGTAAGGAAATTGAAGCATTTTCATGAATTTGAAATTAGATTTAAAAATATAACATATGTTCATATATTATATAATATATATTATAAATATAATGTACAAAATGATGTCTGCCACCTAATGAGTACTTTCTGTGCTATGTGTTTTTACCTCACTCATATCTCATTTAATAATTACAAATATCCCTATAAGTCAGCTATTATTATTAACACTTTTTTGTTGTAGATTAAATGAAGTTTAAAATCTAGTAGCTTATCCAAGATTATAAAACTAATGAATAGCCAAGATAGAAGTTGACCTCAAATCTGTTTAAAAGTAAGCTCATGTTCTCAACTCTTACATTAAAGGTTGCAAATTGGGGAAGCCCAAGGGCAAGATCTAGCCCACAGATATATTTTGTTTTCCTGTGCTTTATCTAAAAATTGAATTTCTAGAAACATTGTTCCTACCCCCACACCCCTGGACACAATCAGCTAAATCATGTATTACTTACTAGCTTATCATATTGTTTATTAAAAAATCTGTTGTGCTGTTTGTCCTAGAGTGCAGTTAAGAATAATATGTCTTCAACACCTGTTTCTTTCTTTCTTTTTTTTTTTTTTATTAGTTACAAGTGTACAGTACATTGGTTAGACATTTATGTAGTTTATAAAATGAGCCCCCTAATTGCTCCTTTTCTCCTCTGGTTTTCTACCTAGCCAATATATTAATGCTGACTGCGTTCTCTATGTCATGCTCCCTATCCCCATGACCATCTATCAACTACTAATTTGGACTTCTTTAACTCTTCACCTCATTCTCCCAGCACCACCCCCGCCTCTGTCCTTCACCAAATTGTCTATGTTTGTGAGTCATTTTTGATTAGCTTATTCTTTTTGTTCCTTAGATTCCATAGATAAGTGAAAACATATGGTATTTATCTTTGTCTGTCTGACTTATTTCACTCAGCATAATAACCTCAACACCTGTTTTTATTAAAATTTGTAAAATAGATGATCAACATAAAGGACCACATGTTTTACCAAACTCGTGTTACCTATATTACTTGCCCTGGCTCCTGTAGGAACTGAGTTCATTATATCTGTACTCACTTTGAATAAAATTTGAATAAAAGTTAAAGCGGATAATTCCGTAGTCCCATTCACTTTAAAGACTATGTATGTGTTCTAAGTGAGCTAATTTTATGATTATGCCCATGTTCTTTTGAGAAATTGTCTATTTAAAATTTATTTAGGTGATTACAAAGCAAATATTATTTCTGCCATTTTTTTATACAGCAAGATTGATTATTAATCTGTTATATTTAATTTCAACAATGACTGGTAATAATAAAAAAAATCAACTGTAGGAAAATAAACTAATGACAGACACCATTTTTCATGGACATAGTTCTAAAATAATTTTTTGATTAATCATGACATTTTATAATCTGTATCTCAAATATTTTATGCTATCCATGTTCCCACCAAGACCTTTTTCCTATAGATTCTTTGAATGCTGTTATATTGCAGAAGATTGCTTGAAGCACCTTTCACCTTTCACCTTTAGCTTTTCTTGGTGTCTATACTTTAATTTTCCAATAATTAAATTTCACAAATGAAAATCAATCTATGGATTTGCTGAATGTTGGAATTATTCCTTCTCATAAAATATTGTCCTGTTAATTGAAAAGTCTCTAGTTGTAAGCTTCATTTAACCAAGATTTTCAATTTGTAAACATTGTTACACCTGTTAGGAGAAGCATTCTGTGCAGATTAAATACAATGCAGAGATTGCTGAAAAGGAAATGAAAAGACAGATGCTTTCTGATTAAGAGTGCAATATTTATGACAGGCTGGTTGTCCAATGCACATTTCTTCTGTCACTTAACATCTGTTTCACATAATTTTTGTTCCAGATCAGTATTTTACTGTCTATAGGGCATGTCAGAGGGTCTGGCTTTCTTAGTATATCAAAAAATAAGTCCATGCCCTAGCAAGCTTTATACCACAAATTGAAGCTTTGGTTCTTCACTCTGTTTAACCTTATATTTTTTTGCTCTTCTGCTTGAAACATTCTATTTTAAACCCAATTTACCTCTATAATGGAGAATTTAACATTTAAATGATAATGAGATAAAGGGGTCTTATAGCTTAACACAGCAGGGTTTTTTTTGCATAATTGTTTTAATATCATTCAGTAACTCAGCAACTGAAAACCAAGTAGCATAGGCGTTTTGAAACTCATAAATTCTTTTTAAGTTAGGTGACTTTGATATCAATTTTGATTCTTAAACTGATACACAGTAGCATGAATGTGTGTGTGTGCATGTGTGTAGTTTAAAAATAACTTGTGCAGATACAATACAGATATATTACTATAATACACATATTTGGGAGCAAAGTAACTCATAGTTTACATGTTAATTCTCCGTTTTATTCTACTAAGTAGAAGAATTTATCATACTTGAATCAGAGATCATTTTTTTCATTATATTTTCTGTTTGGAACTTAGTCATTGTTATTGTTTTGTTAACAGATAATTGTAGTTCAAAAATCAATTGAAAGCTCTTGACTTAAGGAACTGAATAGTTATGTGTAACTATGCATAATTATACTGAGCTTTGCAATATCTGACAGAATGTCACTTAGAAATGAGAAAAATGTGTGAATTGTAAACAGGACAGAAAGATTTTTTAGCATTCTCTCTAGTTCATTAACTTTCTTTGTAACTTATTTTAGAAAAAAGTACTTTCAATGTCAATCAAAATATGTGGTATTATTATTTTCAGGTCAGACTTGCTTCATTCAAGGCAGAGGTTCTCAAACATTATGT